ACTTCGTTTGTATAAAGTTATAAAATTATTGTGTGATAATTTAAGATTCATACTCCCAAAACTGGTTATTGAAGACCCAGTTTTAAACCCATATTTTTTCAATTTTTGATCCAATATATTTCTTTGTCAATTATAAGTTCAGCTAGTATTCGAGGAAGCCTTGTAGAAGGGAGATTAAAAATTTTTCTTACATAGGTGAAATGTGTTTGTATTGTGTCTAAAAACTGCGTCGGTAAACCAGTTTCTAATTGAAGCATATAGTTTGGAGTGTTAGTGGGTAGAAAAAATATTTTTTTTATAAAAAATCTAAAAAGTTTATCCACTTGATCATAGTGTTTGTAACCCCAAATTTGGACACCATAAAGTATAATCGAACGTGCTGTCGTGTAAAAAATTTTCAATTTATTTATGAAAGTTATTTTAGGATTAGACAAGTACTTTGCGCACTTGGAATTAATTGCACTTTTACCTAAGGAGAGTTTAGAGGTAAAATGTTTATTGTAGGAAAGGTATACGCAATTAATATTCCGAGGTATTTATATTCATTGACAATTTCTACTTGCCTTTCTCCAAATTTCCACGACAACGAATTACCTACTCTAGGACCTTTTTTGAAAATCATTATCTTAGATTTATCTAGATTCGCGATAAGACCCCATTGTGAACAATACCTAAATAGATCATCCATCATAATTTGCAATACATCAGGTAAGTTCGCAAGTAAAATTAATGATGGGTATTTGGCAACACTCGAAACAGCTGTATGGTCAACCAAAAATTAAATTAATTTAATTATATAAAAAAAAATGTTGTTGTTGTAGTTCACTCCTTTTTAAAAACCTCTACCAAATATGCTAGTTTTTACTAAATATTTTTATTTATTTTTTTTTTTTTGTTTCATTATTCCATTAATATTACAACTATCCTAGATATCTAATAATACTTTTCACAAATGAAGTTTGGAAATTTGAGTCATCTTAAATCATCATTTAAGATAACATGTTAATAATAATTTGTATTGAAATTATTTCATACAGTTTGAATACATTTCATACAATTTCAATACATAAATAATTCTTTTTTGTAAAGAAAAAAATTTAACTTAATTTAATACGTAGGTTGGAAATGTACGTTTTAGACGTTTTTTGTGCCCTAGTGCCAAGGCAGGGAGTCTTCTCATTTTCAAGTTTGTGTGCTGCAGCAATTTCGATAAATGGTAAGCACTGCTTTTTTGAATTGTTTCATATATAGTAGGGATTTTTAGGTCTTGTGAATATCGTAGTTTGTGATATTAAATGTGGCGGTCACTTTCGTCATAACTGATGTTAAATTACAACTTAAAGTAAAATTAAATACTAAATCTACTTATTCAAAATTTATGAAATTTGTTTTAGATTTGATTTCTTTCTAATATAACACAGCAATAAACTTTCACAACAATTTAACTCAAAACTCCAAATTCGAACATAAAAGTCAAGTACGGCATTTAGTCAGTTAACTAATGAACGCTGACTCTCAGCCCTGATACTCCTTGTGATCTCAAAATTTTATTTACTAATAATTAAATACAAGAAAGAATTTCAAGACCACTGATGATAAGGACTTGACAATACTCTGCTGTATGGTCAACCAAACATTCAAAAAATTAAAATTAAATAAATGAATTTTAGTTGTTGTATTTCACTACTTTTCGAAACCTCTCTAACAAATACAATAGTTTCTATTAAGTAAAATAGTCGCTACTGACGTTAAATTATATTTAAAATTTGTTTTTGAAATTACGAGTTCTTCTTATATAAATATACTATCAAACAACTAAATATATGTATCAATTTAACCTATGTCTTAAGTCTATCAAGATTGTATATGATTCTATTAAGATTATTCTTTGTATTATTTACATCATTATTACTGAAAAAAAAAAAAAAATAAACTGCTTATTTGTATATTATATATGCCAACATAATAAACGGTAATTGTAAAATATTTAAATTAAATTAATAATATATAACGCTGAAATATTTTTATATGATAGTTCAATGAAAAGCATTAATTGCAAATACAAAATAAAATTTAACAATGTTTAATCTTGATTGGTTGACCTTAAACCCTTTATTCAATATATTTAATAAAAAATTCAAAAAATATTTTTATTTCAAAACATCGCAAAAAGAATTTAAATAACGAACACATTACTTACTATATCGACGTCCTTTCATGGTCGGCTACTGTACTATCTATCCAACACAATCCCGTTTTTTTATGTCATGGCTTATACTGTTAACATACCGAAGCTCCCATATTTTTTTGCTTATTATCCATAATTAATGAACAAACAATAAGATATATTTTTCGAAGCTTTAATAAAAAATTGTATTCAGTACTGTATTATAGTAGATTCTCATTTATTACGCATCTAGATAGTGTATCATAAATAGATCGTTTAATATTATTGATGAAATCTGAAAAGATATTATTTATTTTCATAGACTGAAACTCTTTGTCCCACATGATATATATTTTGAACTTAATAGAATCCTCATTATTTAAATCCAAATCGATCAAACTCTTCAAATTTTCTTAGTAATTTAACTTTTCATGGAGGTCTACTATTAGGTTCAAGATAATCAAATTACCGAATATAAGCTATTATGACTTTTATTCAGTTTTTATTAGTTGTTAATTATCGACTAAACTAAGTACGGCAAATGTTATTAATTTCAGCGAGAAAATAAGTTATATAGACGCAATACATATTTTCACGATTCGTTCCGACATACACAACATACTAATATTAAACCCAACAACTCTACCGGCAAAGGTTTAAACTCCTATTTATACTTGATGAGATATCCTAACGCCAACTTCCATATCTTATTTCAAAAACTCATTATCTAAGTCAAATATTTAAATTCTGGATAAAATCTTTTATCACATCTAAAAAAATAAATCAGCCTCCTTTTTTTCATTCTACGAGGTATACAACAAATAACAGCTAAGTACCTGTATCCAACGCTATATGCATATCCAAATTTTTACTTGAACAACGTTTTGTTGCATCTTTTTTTAAAAAACCACTTCCAACACTTACTGCACTCTGAATTATTAAATAATATTCCGACATCAGTTTGCAATATCAATTTAAATTAAATTAAATTTCCCATACTGATATCCATGTTTTCCATATTGAAAAAAACTGCTCTGAATGTGTCATTTAAAGGATTATCACAAACTGGAAGCTTGAAGAAGACTTACCTTAGATTTAGATCTTAGATATAAATGGACCACATTACACTAGGTCAAGCAGAGAATACTGAGACCACTTTACAACGTGAATCAATTACTCATCGGTAAGAGACATATCTGTCTTCATTCTGCAAGCAAGATATCTACTTAGGACTTATTTTAAGTATGTTGAAAATTTTCCATAGCTGATAAGATTGAAATGAAAATTAGTTGAATTAGACTTTTTATTCTTATAATATTTCACTAAATTTTACAAAGACATAAAATTAATTTTTTTAACAGATTTATTTTTAGTGCATAATTTTATTTTAGCTTTTGATTATAACTACAAGTATGTAAAAATGTTTAACTTTAATTTAAATTCCTTTAGATTAAGTTGTTTTTGGATTAGTTAGTGATTTTAAGGATTTGTGTAAAACCAAAAGTTAACTTTTTATTGTTAATTTAAAACTTTTCAAACATTTTCTATATTCATAATAAAATAATGGATTATAAAACAAAACTTAAGAATTTCATTCATAATTACTGGTTATCTAAACTTACTGATAATCATTTCTGCTTATTTTTTTTTACATAGTTTCAAATTGAACTATCTTTCTTGCAAATAATTTTATGTGAGTCTTCCATTTCAATATTTATCTTATGTTTTACATACATATATCTGATATTACATTATATAAATCACTATTAATTAGTTTTTTTTTTGTGTAAATGCACACAATATATATGCTGTAATTATCAGAATATTATTTTATAATCTAAACTCAAAAGATTTCTATAATCTGAACTCAAGAAAAAATTAAAATTGGATTAAGTGTTAGGTATTAAAAATTAATATCGATGATTAATGTCGTTAGTAAATAACTTGATTACACTCATATATTCATATTGGACTAACCTAACTCTAATATCCACCAAACGAATATACGAATTGCAGTATATTTTTTTTATCAAGACGTCTTCGTGCTTTATTAGAACAAATATTAGAACCCTCATTTTGCGAGTAGTAATCGTATCCAAAATTATCCAAGTATTTTTATTATGTTTCGTATTCATTTTTTTTTTTGGTAAATTAATATAAAATTTATTTTGTAATATAACTTGTTTACAACATTTATCTGTTGACATATATCTAATGAATAAAATGTGCAAAATATGTCTTTTGTTTTAAACTGCAGTATATCTCTTTTATAAAGACAGTATATCTCTTTTATAAAGACGTCTTCCTGCTTTATAAGAACAAATATGAGAACCCTCATTTTGCAATTAGTATATTCGTTCGGTCGTTACTAATCTTTATGTACTGAAATCATCTTAGTTCTATATAAAATAACAACAAAAATATTATTGATAAGATAATTCTAACTAGACATAGGAAATATATTTGATTAAATCATTTATCATTCTATGTCTGCTTCCTTATCAGTTAATTAAAAAAATTTGCATTCAAAGTGTTCAAATTTTATCTCACACGGTCTCGAATGGAAGAAAAAAATTTTACTAAGTGCATATCGACACTTTTCACATTACCTATTTTAAAATATTACTTTCGATTTCATTTAATTTTGCTGGAAAATCTTAATAATGATTACAATCTATAAACTTAATTTTCTTTTCTTTTTTTTTGTTTTTTTGTTATTATGTTAACTTTTCCCCCGTTGCACATAACAACGAATTCATCAGTATACTTGGCTTCCGCTTTAACTGTTATTGCTGGAATAACTGTTGTTGATGCTGGTGGTATTTCCTTTTATCTAATTAACAATCTGACGCACAATATCCGGCGGAAGCATGAAATTTTGCTTCCGCAATGGAATTTCGCTCAGTTGACGGTCGATTGGTTGGCGTGTATCATATAAAGAAGGCGATTGGCATATTATAGCGAAAGTGCCAAAAACGCAGGACAGCGTAAAAGTCAACAAAAAGAAACGATCCAAGACCATCGATACAAATTTCCAATCCTCGACAATCTACAAAAAAATTTAGTAAAACAAAAATTATAGAAATAACGAAATGATGGAAATGAATTTCACAAAAAAAAAAAAAATATACAGTGTAAATCTGAAAAATCAAAATCGATGAAATTTAATTTGAAATACATTTTTTGAAGTGGGAAAAACCATTAGGGAGTGATAAAGGCACACATACAGCACACAAAGCACAATAAGAGACTTTATTACTTTTTTCACATCATCAACTCTATTTGACTATTACATAGATTCACTTTTGTCAATATCCTCAAACTCTTCAATATTCGATATTTGCATTATCTCCTTTTTTAATTATGAAATAATACTTAAATCGAAACTAGTGAAAGAAATTATAAATATAGGAATCATTTGTGCAAATCTTTAAAATTCTTTCATTAAGTAAAAAATTCGCTTTTAATTATATTATTCACAAACGCTTTGTACTCGTATTTATATTTCGAAACAGCAATTCTCCACGTTCCAAGCACCCCAAACATTTTCAGTACCAACGTTACAAGGATTGTGGTACTTGCCACAATCCTTACTTCGTATTCAATACAAACCAAACCCTGTAATTCATTGAAGTGTTTTCACTTCACTTCGCCTTTTTTTGTGGACGAGTATATTTGTTTGTAGTATCTCTGGTCGCCTTCTTCATTTACTCTATTTTGGATTGTACCGCTCAATTCTTGGCAAATCCAAAAGCCAACTTACACAAAGTTAATGCAACTTTTGTTTTAATTCAGAAAAAAATCAATTTTTTTTCTTTGCTTGAGTGGTATTCACCCGTAATGGGTATGAATCCTTTAAAGCGGTTGTATTAAAATAAAAATGGCCTCTGGTTGTACTGAATGTGGTTCATTCGTTGCACTAATGAATTTTAATGAAAAAAGCAACAACAACTCAAAAAGGACTAGCATAAATAAAAACAGAGAACACAGAAAAAATGTAAAGTGGCAACTCTAATAATGTTGAAATTTATTCACTGAAATACATAAACAGAGATTTAAATATTCTTAAAGCCTTACGAAATTATTTTCCCTTTAAATTTTTTGCTTAATTTATTGATATTCAGATGTCTGAGTTGGTGAATCAGCACCTTTACTCTATTTTATCTGTGGACAATTTTAAGTCACACTAAATACAGGGCTTTACGGGGCTTTATAATATGATGGATCTGATATCTTTGTATCTGCCTGTGTTTATCAAATTTCGCTGTATTTTTAGGATACTGAGAGTTGGATTATTGTGACTGTCAATTGTATTGAATAGTTTCAGAGCACGATCTTTAATGTATTTTTCAATTGAATCCACTCTCAGATCTCTGTGGATATCAGCTCCTCTTACATACCATGGGGCGTTAACCAGTTTTCTTTGCCCTCTTTGAAGAATTTTTAAAGTTGAGCTTGGCGCTTGGCAAAACGCTATACTGCCATAGAGTAGTCCTGGTTTAATAATTTGCTTAAATATGCTAACTCTATTCTTTATGTTGAGCTTTTTGCTGCTGATGAGCGGGTGAAGGGAGTGTAATATTCGGGCAGCTTGAGCTCGTTTGGACTTGAAATGTGCTTTCCAGGAGTGCTTGTTATCAAAGGTTATGCCTAGGTATTTGAGAGTATCGGCCCATTCTATTTCTTGTTCTTCTACCTTTAATTTTCTGGGAGCTTGGCGGCGCTTCCTGGTAATAAAAATTGCCCGAGTCTTTTCTGCGTTCAGTTTTATTTTCCACTTTTTAAAATACTGAACAAGCACGTCAATGTGACTCTGTATGGTATTGGAGACATTGCAGGCTATTTTGTCTGAGTACACAATACAAGTGTCGTCAGCATAGAGCGATAGCATAGAAGGCTCAAGTTTCGGTATGTCTGCAGTGAACAGGCTATAGAGCAGTGGAGATAACGGTGACCCCTGTGGTACTCCAGCCTGTATCGATTTTACTGAAGAGGTTGAATTGTTCACTTTGACTTGGAACGACCTTTCATTTAAGAAACTGCCTATGAGCTTGATGATAGATGGTGGAAAGTTCTGAGCAGCCATTTTCACAATTAGGCCCGAGTGCCAGACTTTGTCAAAGGCTTTAGCGACATCAAAAGAGATAAGACCAGTCGACATCCTTCTTCTAAGTGCAGATTGTATATGTTGTGCTATTTTGGCCAATTGTAGTTCCGTTGAGTGGTTGTCTCTGAAGCCAAATTGCTCATCAGGGATAATATTATTCGAGCTTAGGTGGTCTTTCAATTTTGCCAGAATGACTCTTTCTGCAACTTTCCCTAGAGTAGGAAGTAAGCTGATGGGACGCCAATTCTGTGGGAACTTCAGATCTTTGTTTGGTTTAGGAAGCATAATGACCTTCGCTTTTTTCCAACAAATAGGGAAGTACCCAAATTTAAGAATTGCATTGGTTATTTCCGCTACTTTGGTGAGGACGTTTTCTGGAAGGTTTTGAAGACAGATATTGCCAATACCATCATAATCCGGGGCAGATCATTTGTTGAGATTACTTATTATTAATGCTATTTCACAGTGATTAGTGGAAGGGGTAGTAGAAGAGTTGCTAGAGTTCAGGATCCTATTGGCCTGCTCATCAACATTTTCCTCGTAATCAATGTCATCATCTTCGTCACAGTTCACTTGGAATTGAAGTTCCAAGGAGTGGGCGAATTCTTCAGCTTTCTCATAGTCTGTAAATTTTAGCCCTCCAGCACCAAGTATTGGAGGAGTCATGATTTTGTTCTTGACTCTAAAATACTTGTTTAGGCCCCAAAAACTTTTATTCCCGGGTTCAAGGCTGCCCATGAATTCTTCCCATTTTTTGTTATTGTGCGAAGATATCATAGTTTTGACTAAGTTGGATAGACGGTTCGCTTCACGCCTGATTTGTGGGTCACCTGTTGCATGAGCCCATCTTCGGAAACGGTTTCTGCGCCTTATAATTTCTTTAATATGCCTTGGAAGAAGAAAGTAATTTTTAGGATTCCTGGTCCTGAGTGAGGAACATGCTTCGAGAGACTCTAGAATTTTATTTGTAAGAATTTCTATGCTGGTGTCTAGGTCCTCTGTGGTATCAATTTGATCGTTGAAGTCCACCAGCCTTAAGGAATCCTTAAAATTTGCCCAGTTGGTGATAGTTATTGATGGGGTAAAGATGGTAGCATGGCAGTTCTGTAGGACAAATAACACCGGTTTGTGGTCTGAGTCTAACTCATCAATAACTTCAATGTGTACATTGTAGTCCAAGTTATTGGAGATGCCAATATCTAGTATGTGACCCGCACCACATAATATAATAATATTATATTATTAATATTGTATAACTAACAATTTGTAAAAACTTATTTTAAAAAAAATAAATTTAATTTGAGTTTCTATAAATGTCAACCAACTTTTGGATACATAATCCACATACCATAATGCAAATGTAAACATTCAAACTGCTTAAGTAGTCCTAATCTGTACTCAATATACGATTTCTTTAATGAACAAGAAAAATTCAACTTTTAAGAGTATAGAATCATCGAAGCGATGTGGACCGATGTAAAGTGGATTGCATATCGAGCGAAGACGCCACACCTTGAAATGTATTCGAGTTTATCGAATCTTCTCTGAATAGTTTAGTATACCTAACACAACTTTCAGTGACATGTTCGTTTAATGGATATCGAACTACGGAGTTTGAAACTACTATATAATAATAGTTAAAAGGCTGTGTAAAAAATAAGACAATACTTTCCCTTAAACAAAATTGAAACCAACAATGCAAAACGATTGCAAGACATCTTTTGAGGCAGAAGGTTAAAGAGAAAAAAAATAGGGTTTGAAATATAACTAGTAAATATTTTCAAACAACTTCTTCTATAACTATAATATAGTATATACTATATAGTATGTGGGTAACTATAACCTAGTATGTAGGTTAAAGCTGTTATGGTGAAATTTAAATGGCTAATTTATTGTTTCATGTGCAAGGTCTAGATTAACCTCTTTAATTGTGCTATAAGCTTTTCTGTTAAAATAATTTTATAAGCTTTTCTGTTAAAATAAATTTATATTATCAATTAATTTAAAAATAACACACTTTAATAATTGATAAAATCTCTACCGAATGAATCTGTACTTTCCTTTAAAAAAAATTAATAAATATTGGGTATATATATCAAAGAGGCCCAATGCTCCAATAGGAGATACAGGAATTGATTATGATGATGTTGTCAAAGTAATCTTAAAATATATATTTATATAATAAAAAACTGGTTAAATTGATATATATATATTTCTTATATTCCTATCTTCTCTTCTTTCTTTTATTTCCTCAAAATTAAAATTGTCATTTAGTTACGTACTTTTGATACCTCAAGTAAAAATAAATATGCTTACAGCAAACAATTAATATTTTATTGTGGTTGTAGCTCTGAAGGTGGGGAAGAAACTGTGCTCCGTCACATGTGTCAGTGCCCATCTTTAGCTAGAAGAAGTTTTAAAATCTTCAGGGCTCCTTTCCTTACCGTTCGGTCTCAGCTGTCACCTTGCAAAATTAAGAACTTAACCAAGTTTATAGAACTGTCAGTTTAGTTCATCTTTACATAACGGGGGAGTCGTTGCATTCTTTGGCGAATGGTTGTATACTAACATTTACTCTATTTATTAACAAATGCCTATCCTGTGGTACCACAACGAATCATTATTTGTGCTCAAGTGGTCTTTCTTTCTTTCTTGCGTACAATGCCGACACTCCAACCTAACATAACCTAGGCAATAAACGAAAACAAACTTCGATTGAAAATCTCTCAAATTACAGGTATCTTAATATTGCCAAATTTATTTTATTTGATGTACAAAAGTTTATAATAGGTTTAATAGCAAAGAGTCTATGAACCTAAAGTGGACATAATCTCTTAACCAGAAGTGAAGAAACCGCTGTTTATCCATATCTTAAGAACTGGTCGGCAAACTTATTATTATTGTAATGCCTTTTTAGAGCGTAGCAAGCATAGATAATCGCTGAGACTTCTAAATAGTCATTTAGAAATGACAGTTTAGTATCTTAGTGGGGTAGTGTATTCAGTCTAGTATTTTTTCGTCATTTTTTATGTATTTTAGATAAATTTAAATTAAATTTATTTTCTCTGTCCACATTTTGTTGCTTTAAAATAAATTTAAAGGAATGAACCTTATTTAAAGCTTCACATTGAAATTGTTTACAAGAAGATCTGTTGGCATTTATCTTATGAATAAAATTTGAAAAATATGCCTTCAGTTAATATTATTTCCCTGAGCAATCAATATGCAAGCATTGAAATAAAAATCATTTTGAGTTCGCTCGTTTTTATTGCCCGACAATTTGACTTCACCACTGCAAATCAAAAAAATAGACACGCAGACAAAATATTATTTATGTTTATTTACACTAGGAAAGGGCGGAGAATTGTACGAAATATGTTCACAGCCGCAAAAGTAAACAAATAAAAATCGTGCATAAGGACAAATGAAATAAAAAGTAAGAACAATAAGATTGACGAGAAAAGAAAAAAAAATAATAATAAAACCGAAATATTATTTTCGACGCTTCGAGACACAGAGCCAAACACAATGAGTAATAAAGTCAAATATATATACACCTACCTCGTTATCCTTGTCAGCATCCTTGATGTGTTGTGCAATAAATCTGACCGCACGTAATGCCTGCAGGACTTCGGGTGTTAAGTTGCGCGGAATCACATTATCGGAATCTGTCAATATAAAAAATTGAAATAAAAAACCACAAAAATAGAAAAAATATATATAAAAAATGGACGAAATGGCAATAACAAGGACACGTGCCGCGCTTTGCGTAAACAACAAAATTGAAATAAATAAATAAGCATTTGACAAAAATGTAAAATATTATTAAACCTTCCCGGGCCAATTTTCATTTTTAATGTGCCACTTTTCCAAAATTGCTTATAATTTTTGTGGACATATTTGCATATTTATTTGCTTTAAAGCCTCCCTTCAAATTTTCTATTTCTTCCCTATTTGAACACTTACCAATCGAATGTGCTACGCCGTTGTCGTAGGTTCCATCCTGGCTGTCCTTAAACTCACTGGGAAAATCGCTAATACTATCCCTGTAATGTAGCGTTACAACAATTAAGCAAAAATTATTTTCGTTTGTATTTTAATGATTAACTTTAGATAATGAAAACAATTGATTATGCTTATTAGTAAAATTGTAATGAGTTTTTTATTATGAGTGATAATACTTGAACTTGAAATAAATCATGAATTTATTTATAGAAGTTTTGAAAAGTCGAAGAAAAAATTAAAGAAAAAATAATATATGTACATGAGTTTCATCAAAAAAACAATTGATTTTTCAGCAATAAAGAACAATAAGTCGCGAATGTGTTGATTTATAAAGAACTTTGACTTATGGACCGAAACTCCTCATGAAAAATACAATATACATGGACAAACTTAGAGGCCAATTAATATAGGAAAATCTGCCAAATAATTCAGCAAATATTACAGTTCCTAACTTATAACAAATAAGATAAACTTTTGTTTAAAGGAAGAACATTGTAGAAAGTTGCAGCATCAGATAACAATCACAAATCCATACAGCGGTTCAGAGATAACACTATGTCATCTACTTAAAACAAATAAGTAAAAGAACCCAGACTGAATATAATTTTTTATAAATGATAAACTTAGGTAAACCATCTATTAACAACTATCGCTGATAAGGTGAATCTCTTGCTATATACTCTCAACATAACATTTCATGACATTTGGACGAATACAAGCGTGTGAAATGAGGATATACAAAGAGCTGTCGTTATAATGACGGAATAATCTGATTAAACTAAAAAATAAGAAAAGAATATTATATAATGCTAAGAACAGGAAGCTGATATATAACCAAATAATTCGTACGTCACTTCTATATGGATGAGTAATGTTTAACAAAGCTTCATACACTACAATTCGCCAGCTAGAAATTGCACAAAGCCAGGCTCTGAGAAGATTTTTCAAGATACTATGGCACATTAGAACAAATAACATCCTTAGGGACCTCAAGATTGATTCGATCAAAAAATACATAAAGGATAGAGCCCTGCAATTATTTGCGAAAACTGACAGACTTACCAACACCGCTTTATCAAATCTCAGAATGGTTACAGGCTCCTCGGGGAGGTATGCAGATCTAAGGTCAATTTTTGCTTAGTCTGATGAAGTTATAAAAGTTAATCCAGTCAAGGCGTAAAGAGGGATTTTGAAGATATCTCGAGTTAATAAAGAGTAAAAGTGCGCAAGTGCACTGACTCAAATAGCTTCAACATAAATAAATAAGATATAATATCTTGGATATTATACTAAATAAAGTTATCAATTTACCATCTATTTAATCGATAGTAAATATTTTTAAAAGTTTTTTACTTAATAGCGTAAACTAGATAGTTAAAAATTTCTGTCAGATCTCAAGATCAACTTAATTCAAACTATAAAGGAAACATACCAGTGTACTGCTTCAACTAAAGTGTAAACTGTTCAGTACTTCAACATCAGTGCCGACGGATCACTGTTTATTAAGAAGATATACTATGAGACTGAGTCTACCCAATAATAACTTTTGTCAGGTTTGTCTAATTGGCTAAGAGAAGATTAAAAATCTTTAGATCCCTTTTTCTTATTGACCTGACAGTCCTGTCTACTGATTACTTGTCTGATTGGTTCACTTTCACTTTAATAGGGAGTCGTGCCTTTCAGCGGTGTTCGTAATGGAAGATTTCCAATAGAACTTCATATTAATAATCAAAGTTGATAATGTAAAAAAAACCACTTGTTGATACAGCAAAGGAAACCTAATTTACCCTATGAACCTATTTAAGTCAAATTTCCAGAAAAGGAACTGGAAGCTTAAGATATGGCAATGATTGTGAATAGTTATAATAAAAATAATTAGTAAAAATGACTTGTAGAGGACGACTTCTAATAAAAGCTACGCTAAATCGTTAGAGTTAAGAAGATAATGTGAACTTTATAAAAAATAAGACGTTAAGATAAGTCAAACTTTTATCACCAAGGAAGGACAGTTTGGCGTAGAAAATTGTTTTAGACTATACGCTATTAACAGTAATAAATAGTAGAAGGAAGGACAGTTTGGCGCAGAAAATTGTTTTATTAGACTATTTATAAATAATAAATAGTAGGTACCGACGTTAGTATTGTAGAAAATAAAATGGGAGTTGTATTAAAAACTACAAAAGTATAGCATTGAACACCCTTGTTTGAAAAGTTTAAGAATGATGCTATAATATGGCAAAGACAAATGAACAAATACCAAAAGGAGAATGATGAAACCGATGTTAACTTATCTATGGTTCCATAATGTACCAATCTATTCTTGAAAATTTATAAGCAACGAAAGGATGTGTTAATGAGATTAAAAATAGATGAATTAAATATATGGGTCATAACTTTGCAATATATAAGTCAACCTTATATTATATGTATTGAAAAAGTATAGAACTCAAGGAACCCGTTCTTAGAAACTGAGTGGAAATGACATACAAATAGTTATTTACAAAATAATGAAATGTTTATGTTTTATAAATATTGTAATGAGCTTAATCAGAGTTCAAAAAAAACAAAAACTCTGAATATGAGATATACACCATATAAAAAATTGTTTAAAATAATATGTAGGAGTAATCTTTGTTTTGAAATAAAGAAAAAAATTATTGTAGAATCTACAGAAAGAATTAGAAATAGATTATTATTTTTTCAGCAATAAATTTGGATATATATTCAATTTAAAAAACACGTCATATAAAAATACGCTTTTAATAAAATTCTCTTACCTTACATCAATTTCATTAGTATACCCATTACTAGGCGTGGAATCATCATAATCCGGTAAAGTGTATTGTGTACGACGCATCATCAAAACTTTTGGCATAAAGTGTAAAAATAGTTTGCGAAACAGTGGTGACATTTTATGTGTCGATGGTGATCTAGAAACAGTATTTAATTATCTTCATAAAATTTTGTTTAATCAATCAAATTTCAATGCACCAATACTCCATGGTACCCATAAGAGCGTTATTTTATATGAGAATATTTTAATTGCGGGCGTAGCAGCTAACTTACCTAAAATGTATATTCAATACACACACAGTCGTCCAAACGGACAATGAGACCAGTATCATAGTAAATAGTAGATATTTCCCTAGAAGCGGTACGGCCAAAGATGTTGGCGGAATAATTTCAGCCAACAGCAAGAAGAACACAGTCAATGACACAAGTATGGAAATACATAACGTAACCTGTCAACGAAACGTAAGCGTGTAGGTTTGGCATAACGTTCAGATACGTTGTCAGCACGTATTGACCACCGGCATAGTGTAATTCGTCCACCAAACAAATAATAAACAATAGCCAAGTTAACAAACAAGCAAAAAACACGTCTTAACCAATTACAACAAATAACAACAATCGGCAAAACATTTGTACTCGCCTTATCTGTGTACAGATAAAGCATACAAAGTTTTTATTAACATTTTTTTCGTAAAAAAAATATTAATTTTAAATTTTGTTTAATATATTTTAATTTTTTAATTTCAAAATAACAATAACAAAAAAACTACACGTAATTTGTTTGATGGGATTTGTTCATATGCATGATGAGTGCACCCAATTAAGCAAAATCATATGGGAAAAAGTGTGTTGTGGTTTATTTAAAACTATGGATGAACTATGGACGAACTATGGACGATACTTTTATGTTATATACAAACTGTTTTCGACATGCAGACGTAAAAAAACATTTAGCAGTCGGACAGATCTCTGTTGGGATGAAGGGATTATTTAGTCAAAAAAACGTGCTAGGAATTGGAATATTCCTTTATAGACTTTTTTGGGAAAGACAACGATAGAGCTGCACATCTGTATTATCATTGTCTAACAAATGTGAAATATAAGTTATTAATCCATAGCAACTTATATTCTACAAAATCTTAACAACTATAGAACTTTCCTTGAAAACAATTTCATGCTTCGCAACAGATTCCAACCAAATTTAAAACCCCCGAGTTTTATATGTCTATACAATAGACCACCAGCCATTAAAATACTCTTAGCTCCAGCATGAGAATTTAACCTAGCCAATATGAAATATATTTAATCAGAATTTTATTGATTTTCTTATTCAGATGGCGCTAATTGTAGTGTTTTTATTTTGAAATTTTCGAAGAGAAATCTAGAAACATTTTTATTATAAATTATTTTATTTATAAACTTATAACATTTTTAGTTGTTATTCGGCGGAACTTGAACATTATAGTGCATATAGCTTTTTCAACTATTCAGTCGTAACCTTTATCATTATAGACCCATTCATTTAGAGTTTCCTTTAAATTATTTAAATCTTTATTAAGTTGGCGTCTCTTCCGCAAATGATATTTGGAATATTTTCAAATTATGACAGTCAAACAATTGTTAAACGAAAAAGTTATATAGATCAAAATATATTTAAATAGATGGATTTACATAAGAACGTCTTTACGTAAAGTGATCTTTAACCTGGTAATAGTTAATAAGGAGTATATATTATTTTTTGTAATATATTTTGATTAGAAAGAATATACAGCTCAACACTACGGATATTTTTTATGAATATTTTGTACTAAAAAGTACTGATTGATCGATATATTATTGATCGATGTATTATATAGTTTAATATAATACAGTGTTAAGAATTTTTAGTATACATTTGAAAAAACATATTAAATTGTAAATCAATTTGATTAAAAATAAAAACAATCATTTACAATTTTACATGTATAAATTTATTAAATTCAATCTGCTTAATTAATGTAAGAAAGAAAATACAGATGCCAATATTTTCTCTGCATTATATTTACAACTTTGATAAGAATCATTTGACGAACCAATAAGCAATCCACATATCTGTCAAAAAAGATATGTATCTGGAATGATATCGTACAAGATAATTAAACATACTTTAGATTTAGTTCTTCTTCATAATTTGCGCAGTAGGCTTTAAAAGGAGCCCTTATTAGGTCACAATGTATACTATATATTTTTAACAACCAAGTTCAATAAGACTGTAGGAATAAGTAAAAATCCACAAAAAAATGAACCGTATATTATATATCTTCCATAGTAAATTCATCAACGTATAGGTCTGAGGTTTTCTCACTCATACATATGTTATGTCTGAAGTGTACAATATTTGAATATCTGATCAAAAGATCAAAAGATCTTTCAGATCGCAGTACATGCGTAGCCTATCCATTTTAATGATCATAATATTTAAATATCATTATATTTTAAAAGCTGCAAAATATTTAAATACTATTATTTTTTTCTTGTTTAATTTTAAAGAAATATATATAAGAGAACTATATATATGAGAAATATATAGGGCCACTATAAATAATCAAAATGGAAGCCAACATCTGCTTTTGAATACTATTTAAGCAAAGTGCAACTAGAAATTTATTTATTATTAGTGCGTAATATAATTAAGCAATTTAAGAATATATAATAATTGTTATCGTTAGAATACTTTTGACAATTATTAGGCTTCTTCTAAGTTTAAAAACATCTTTTATTTACATCTGCAATTCGAGGCGCAGCAGTCAATATATACGAATAGTAACCAGCACTGTATATTTAGGGCTTTTTGTCATTACCTTTCATTTGACAGTATTTATGAAGCTATGTAAAAGAATTTTTATAAAGAACTTATACAAATAGAACAAATAGAAGGTATTGATGTTTCAATTCACGAGATAGATACATGTGCAACCATAGTTTGAATTATTTATTTTACATAGGATTAGGTTTAGATATTCATTAAAGCTAGTAAATGCCATATGGTCAGTATTTTTTAATAGTCGGATATAAACTGCGAAATTGAAAGGATACTGCCTTTACGACTGATCAATTTCCATGATTTTTTTCCCAACATGTCAGAGTTAAAATTATATCCTGTAAGTTCCTTTTTGCTGTCTATTTAAGCAAGCTTTGTCAAAAACACTTTAGATCATGCATATTAATAGTTTTCTATTCTGTAGAAATAGGTTTCTTTAATTTTTATTTCAGAAAATATATATAAGCAAGTGGTTCGTATATATTAATTTTCTTAATACCTTCGAAACAATTAAAGAAACATAAAATCGAAACCTCTGAATTGAGGTTTTATCGAAATGTAGTAAAACTTTGATTCTCTGCCATGTTAGATAAATTGATTCATGATTATTCATGTTAATCTTGGAAAAATAATAGTGATGGTTTTCCGTTGTCTACCTCCGCTGTGCACATACCGTTTATATGGATACCACTGCTCTATTTGCTAATTCATGTATTACCATACCAGTTCTTTCAACCTCTGCCTCTATACCTGATACTGAGAAACCAGCTGCCATTCCCCAGCACCATATGTAACCTTTTATCGATACTACCTTCGGAAAGCTTACAGTGGGGGTTTGTTACGAAGTTTACCATCTCCTAGTAAATTGAAGGTAGACGTAGCCCTGGGAGACGAAAGATATCATAGCTGAAGAATTAACGTCAATGGTTTAATAAAAGTACAAGATCACTTTTTCGAGAAGCTGTAGATAAAATCAAAATAGCAATCATGTTAGCCAACGTTCGAAGGCACCTAGAAGATGAAGTAAAACTTTCATGAAGGGTACACGGAATCAAATTCTCCCTGCTGAAGGAACAATATTGAATGTAAAAATCAAATTTAAAAACATCATTTTCTATGTATATATGACTTACTACGTCTCCATAGCAAGATGATAAGAAACCTTGAAATAACTGATTATTAAAGCCAAAATAAACTGAAGCAGAAGTCGAGACAGGTTGAGAACTGTCAAGATCAAAAGACTTAGAGAAGAAAAGACGTTATTGGTGCAGGTAAGGTGAAAAGTCCATATTTTGACCGTCTTCGTCAGTAATTATAAAAACTGAATAAATTAATACTAAGCAGGATAAAAGCATAAAGCTATTACAAAACGAGTTTCTAACAGAAGCACAACTACTGGTACTGGTAAAAATACTCAACATATGAAATTATTACATAGTTTTAACATTTTTATTAACACTTTTTCCTTTATTTTCTTTTGTATAGAAAATTTGAGCAACATTATTAACATTCAAAATAAAGCATCAAAACAGTAAACATTTAATATAAATTGGCATTCAAAAAAGCTTTTTGGCGTTTGATCAATCATAAAACGAAAATAAAAATTTGCAACTTTTTACACTAGAAACCCAAATTTGTTGCTAATTTGACATACGGCAATGTAGCTCAAATTTTTATTTAATAAAATTTTAATTATTTTTTTTTTAAATATATTTAATAATATTAACTAATATTCTGGTTTTGCTTAATTCGATGCGACTTAAAACAAGACAACTACAACAACATATGAGTTTTATTGAACTTCCGATGAAAAATTACGTTATGACATTTCTCACTACTTCCTTATAGCACAGAATAAATTTCATCATTTTTATTCGTAATATTTGCAATGATATATTTTATAAATATATTTTATAGATAAAATATATTTTGTGCTATACTATGAGCTAAAATGAAAGAAATTAAAATCTAAAAAATACAAAATTTATATGAGTTATGTATGAATATATATATTAGTAGGTACACTTATTATATATTAATATTCTGACCGCTTAATGATACTAATCAACATTATCCTTCCAGACTAAATATGAACAAAATTTAATTAAAAATATAAAAAAATTTCATTTAATATAAATAATAAATAATATTAAAAAGTGGTGCTTATTTTATATAATATATTATAATATTATTATAATTATTATACTATAATATTATAATATGTATATACATTATGCTGTAATATAATAATATATATATTATACTAATATTAATATTAGTATTAATATTATAAATCTTAAAATTTGAAATATTTATATTTTGTAAGCATTTTAGACTTACAAAAGGTTTTATAAAAGAATTCACAACGCCCAGTCGGGAGCCGCTGTGATACTCACTCACTAACAATTATATACCAAACAGTATTAGATGATACCTATTGAATTTTAGTCGCCTTTTACGACAGACAAGTTTTACCTAGAGAAATTTTAACCCCTATCCCAAAAGGAGAGGAGGTAGAAGGTACAATGGTTATCTTCATCAGATTTCTGATCCACATATACATAAAAAATTAGTATTAGAATTTGAAGTGGAGTATATAAATAGTAAAAAATTTACGCTTCCAATTGAATGCCGAAATATTTTTCATTGTAGGCTAGCATATTTTTCCAGACCTAGATTAAAACCAGACAGTTACTAAGTGTATGAGAAGTATCATTGTCTTCTATGTCAAAACGTCATTCTGTCATCATACACAAACCATTATTATTAAAATGGTGTCGTAGGTCACAATTTCCTATCAAATAATCTGTAGTGAAAAGTTTTATTGTAACGATAGAGATAAGCCAGGTGTTCTTACCTTGGAAATTTTCTGGAGTGTCAAGTCGGAGTAATAAATGGATACTTTAGGATATGCCCTTTTAATATATATAAAACATTTGTAAGGCAATCTAGCTTCTAATAAGATATATGTTAACACCTTTCAGGCAATAGTGACGCCTTCAGAGTTTTTGAAACTTAAGTACTTTTATATTTAAAATTTAATTTAATTTATAATGTAAACAAAGCAATATCCTTGACGAATTATATTTGGAATTTTGGAATGAGTTAATATTATTGTAAAACTTGTCTTAATTATTTTAGCTATGTGAAACTCAGTTAAAACTGTTGACTTCATAGCTATCTATTTTTTTGTGGGATGTCTTTTCACACTTCGATAACGAACATCCTTTATTGTTGTGATCTAGCTGTTCCTAACAATGGGTCATCAAATTACTTCAAATTAGTTGAAAAGATATCTGTGTTTTGCTAAAAATGCCAGATCCAAACAAAATTTCGATCGAAATCTCAATTAAAAGTATTTTGTATTTATATTTACTTTTAAAACCACAAAATGGATAACTCTGTAGTATTCGTATTTGTTTTTAAGAGTAACAATTAGAATCAAACTTCTCTATAATGGACGTCCCTATAACGAATTCCTCTCTATAACGAAGGTTTGTTGAAGACAGCGATTTTCATATATTTGAACCTGTAGCGAATTTCTCTCTAACGAATTCGTTATAGAGAGGTTTGACTGTATTTAAAAAACTGCTTATATAAAATAGCACCCCATAAATTATAGAATTTTAGAGAAACTTAATTAAATTATAAAACAATATTTTTAAAAACTAACATAAGAAGAATAAAGCCTTGTAAAATTTCAATAGCGAAATTAAAAAAAAAATTCTATAAGGAAAATTGAAGGATTGAAATTAATTTCTAGTTTATAGCAAGAAGATAGTCAAAATAACATAACAGAACACAATAAAATACAAAGAACGAACATTAGAGCAGCGACATGCAATAAATTCAGACAGGAAACAGTAATGCCACACTCTTATTCCAGCACATACGGAACGAACTTACCTTCTCGCCGGAATCGCTAGGCAAATAAAACACCAACACTGTAAGGAACGTTAGAGCAACACACGGTACTATTAAGTTGACAGTGTAAAAAAGTGTTTTACGACGCATTGTTAGCTTGAAAGTTATATCTAAAATAAGTAAATGGATTTTTTTAAGATTTAGTAACTTTTCGTAGTTAACAATTAACGTAGAATTAATTTGGTAATTCTTTCTTCCTTTAAACCCTTTTCAATTTTT